AAGCTGTTATTAGGCGAGGAATTAGAAGACTAGGCTTTTGAATACAATGGGACGTGGGGTGTGATAAGCTTGAAAATGGTTCATGGCCGATTTGATAGGAACAAGCCGCCGCTACCAGCATTACACTATGGCAGCTTTTGTAGTGTGCTACAATGGATTTTAATTAGTCATGTGAAATCGTGTATTCAGGCGAAAGTAGAGCTGCTTTATCGGACTGCAGTCTAAATATATAATATCTTTTGTTTCTACTGACTGATTCAGTCAAATTTAACGAAACGCTTATTTAATATTCTCGCATTCAATGATGTACACAACTTACCTGACTTAAAACATATTTTCATTTGGGTTGTAACAAATTTTCCTGTTTTCTCTATGGACATTGTCTTATATTCAAAATAGACTAAATTATTATATATCTTTTCCATCTACTTATGGACAAAACTCAGATTCACCTTCCATATCTCTTTAGTGCTGTATTTTTTATGTGAAAAAAAAAATTGGTTTCGCAGATAATATATATTTTTGTGCATTATACAACACAGGTATAACATGGAAATAATAAATCCATTTACAAGAACGAAAAAAATTGGAACTATAAAAATGGAAGGTCAAATAAATTTGGTGATTTAGTGCTGGTATAACTTAATTTCGTCAAATTAACCAATAAACATTTTTAAATTTCAAATAACTCTTTTTAACTTCCAATTAACTGTTTTTATATCAAATTGACNTTAACACTTTTTAACATCAAAATAAACATTTTTACATTTCAAATAACTCTTTTTAACTTCAAATTAACTTTTCTATAAACTAACATTTCAGTAATCTCTTTTAATTTCAAATTAACCCGTTTTAACATCAATAAACCATTTTTTATTTCAAAAAAACCTTTTTAATTTTTAAATCTCAAATTAACCCTTTTTAACACCAAAATATACATTTTTACATTGCAAATAACTCTTTTTAACTTCAAATTAACTTTTTTTTATATCAAATTGACCTTTTTTAATATTAAATCAACCACTTTTAATCCAAATAACTCGTTTTAACTGAAATTATCTTTTTCTATCTTCAAATTAACTCTTTTTAAATTCAATGATCTCTTTTAACTTCAAATTAACCCTTTTTAACATAAATAAACTAATTTTTATTTCAAATAAACGCTTTTTAACTTCATTTTTTTACTTTAAATTAATATTTTATAACATCAAATTAACCATTTTTAACATCAATAAACCATTTTTTATTTCAAAAAACCTTTTTAACTTCAAATTAACTTTTCTTATATCAAATTCACCATTTTTAGTATTAAATTAACCACTTTTAGTTCAAATAACGCGTTTTAACTGAAATTATCTTTTTCTACCTTCAAATTAACTCTTTTTAACTGTAAATTAACCCTTTTTAACATTAATAAACCATTTTTGATCTCCAAAAACAGTTTTGTACTTAAATTTTTTTACAACTTTAAATTGTATCTTTTTTCACTTCAAATTAACCATTTTTAACATCAAATAAACATTTTTTTAACCTTTCTAACATTAATCAATTAATTATTTTTTAAATTTGATATAAGCCAATTTCTCACTGGCACTTTCAACACGACACATAAGAATGACAAATCTGTATGGAAGCCAAACGCTGTCAGTGAGTCCAAATACTTTGATTGAATCTAAAATCGTAACATTGAATAAATTCATTTTTTTTCTTTTTTCACATCCTACATGTATTTGTAAAATTTAAACAATGTTTATAAATCCCAGGCCCTGAAGATGACCTCAATAAAGATTGAAACGTTGGCACGATAAAGAAAATGTTTTTCTAAAAACCTATGTTACACCAGACCGCATTTCACAATTTCCAAATAATCATTAACTGACAGTCACTAAACACCACACATTCAAATAAACCGTTTGAACTTCAGATTAATCTTTTTTAATTGTAAATTAACCCTTTTTAACATCAAATTTTTTAATTTCATAATCATTTTTTTAATTTCTCATAACCCTGTTTAACTCAAATTAACCATTTTTGACTTGACTTTTAGTGTACATGTGTTTATCATTTATTGAAAATTGTTAAGTTGTTTTATTTAGTTTAGAGTTTTATTCAGTAGGCTAAAAAAAGAAACGACTTTGCATGTCTAGCTGCTATTTAACTGTGACACGATTCACATTTACACCAAACTGGTTATCTATATTCAAGTTAAATGGATATTCAAGTGGTTGTTTAAAATAGGGGTAAAATAAATCTTTATTTCAATTATCTCACGCACAATTAAACTTTCTAACATATTAAAATATAATATTTTTTAATATATATTATTTGTTAACTTTTGTATAAAATTTGCTCTTATTTTGGGCTAAATTTAACATTTAATTCACTTGAAATGTTTTTTCAGGTAAAACACCCAATAGTGCTCCTCACAAAATCAAGAATTTTTTTTTAATATTTAAAAGATTTACTTTTTAAAGGAGAAAAATAAATGTGTTAAATAAAAGTAAGTGATACCTAATATTGAAACGATAGATCACATTTTTACAGGCACAGATTTGTGTTTGTTTTTGTATTTTTTTTTCTCTTTAATCTTCTTCTATTTGACAGAAGTGTAAAATTTTGTTCTATTTTTAAATAAATTGGCTGTGTGGTGAACCATGGAGAAAAATCCAAATCTTTGTGCATTGGTGAATTTCTTACGAACACTGAGCTTCCGTCATAATACAAAGGTACCCTTTTTACACGGCAGTTTGATGTATAATACTCAAATTGCGCATTCATACTGCCATATTGAATGAATTATTATTGATGTTAGCTTTTTTAAGCAAATATCCAATAATAGTTTTCCAGCAGTGTGTGCATTGCCTAGCTGAGTGTCAGTATTAAATTTTTCCAGTTGAGCTTATTGTCAAGTGTAATGCCTATATAACAGACTTCTTAAGTTTTTGGTTCTTTTTGCCTTTGAAATATTCATCAAGAAATGGTATTTTTTGTAGACATGAAATACTACTAGCTTCTACTTTTCTGTTTTCATGATGAATTTTTCTATTTGTGTCAAATATTTTTATAATTCTACGACTACATCAGAACGGTTACTGCTTAAATCTGCCAAGTATCTAGCATAATTTGTAAGATGACAGTCAGAGGGGAATACAAAAAAGTTCAAAGAATGCTTCCAAGGGTTACTCCACCTCACTCCTTACTCACTTTTACTGCAAAAATTTAAGGATACCAGGACACTGCGGGATATCTGGAAATGTTGAGGTAGACCAAGTGGCAAAAAGTACCCAGAGAGAGAAGGTTAAAAAATAAGTGAGGTGCCACAAGAAGACGCATGTGATGACCAAAAGAAAAGAAAAATGGCAACTGGAATGGCTTAATATTGGAGAAAACAAGCTAAGAACTGTTAAAACTATGGACCACCTCAGCCAGGCTGTCAAGAAAAGAAAAATGTGTACTAGCGAGACTCAGGATAGGGCACATGCAGATTACACGTAGGTGTTTGATGGCACGCGAACCTCCGCCTGTGTGCTTAACATGTGGAGTTTTAACCACAGTCAAACACATACTGTTAGAATGTAAGATATACAGAAGGGCATGCGCAGTGGACTGCTTCTCTTCCAGGGCAACAACAATATCAAGATTTCATTATATTTAATGGTCTATTGACCAAATTACTTCTTTCAATTAATTAATCTTTTTATGTAAGGTTTTTGGTTTAAATGAAAAAGTTAGTGGCATGAGCGGAATTCGATCTTTGGCTAAATACGCCGCTCTACCACTTGAGCTATCGTGACTTCGATCCATTTCGACCAAAAACCTTACATAAAAAGATTAATTATCAAGATTATTTGAATTTTTAAGGGAAACAGAATTGATTGGTAAAATCTGATTTAAAGGGTGAAATAACGTGGTGGGACCTGGTGGGTTGGTTGATACTCAGGTGTGGTGGGGGGGACTTCTGGGCAACAATGCAAGCCCGAGACGTGGCGGTGATGTGGATGTAACTCACCCCATGCACATCATCAAGAGCAGGTAGTGCAAGATAAAGTAAAAGTACGAATATTGAATATCTTATCCTTGAGAATGCTGCCCATATACCCCCTGTGTCCCTCCATGCTGCCTGCCTCCTCGGCCATGTGCCTGTGCCTACCCCCACAGTACAGATTCAAAGCAAATATAAAAAAAGGAGGGAAAACTTATAAGGTGAGGTTGAGATAGGAAGTTGATGTCCAAGTGGATCGAGGTCACGATAACTCAAGTGGTAGAGCAGCGGCGTATCTAGCCGAAGATCGTGGGTTTGAATCCCGCTCGTGCCATTAACTTTTTTTCATCCTAACTAAAAACCTTAATTAATTGTAATAAAAAAAGGGTTATTCCTCCTTTTATATTTTTTCGTTTCAAGAAACTGTTTTTGCATTAGACTGAGAACATCCTTTGAGTGGCTTTGTTTTACAAAATAGACCATGATATCTGTCGATGACCTTCTCTGTTTTCAAGACTTAAGCATAACATCCTGTAATTGTCTGTTATATTATGCAGTTGTTGAGGGCAAGAATGCAAAAGCCGAAAGTCAAATTATATCTCTAGGATGAGGAAGCCACGAAATGTCTGTAATTCTGCATGGAATAGGCACTCAAAAATTTGGATCTACAGAAGACTGTTTTGTCAAAAGCTTTTTATGCCGTATTTATCTTTCTGTGATTTTTGAATCTAAATGTATGCTAGTCTTATGATGGAGCTGTAAACTTGCTTTAAAAGTATTAAAGTCTTCCTCGGTAAGACTTTCAAAAGAGGTTGCATTATTTGATGTTGTCCTGTAGATATACTAGAGATGAATATGAATATATATTAATAATAATACAGATAGAATGGTGTAATTTTGTAACATTTCGAAAAAATCTCTCAATTTTGTTTGTAACATTAAATTAACTCGGAAATATTTTTTCCCATGGCCTAAATTTAAACGTGCTAAAAACTAACAGTATTAAATTGTGTTGCAGAGTGTTTTACATCAGTCGGTCAATTGCAATAAGGATGAATTTCTCAGGACGCTGCATCAAGTGCAAGGGATGGCCGGACAAACACAGACCAACAAGAAACAGGGTGTGTCTGCTGAGAGTTCAGGAACTGACCAGACCTCCGGAAATATCCAGTTGATTCAGCACGACAAGGATTTTAAGTATGCAATCGTTACCTTAGATCCGACGTCTCTATTGATCTTTTTTATAAATTGAACAATAGGTCTAAACAACTGATCAAAAGTGCCTTACTTGAGAATGATTTTCTCAAAAATCTCGAACCTGGACAGATGAGGGATATCGTTGACTGTATGTACTCGAGGGTGTGTATAAAAGGGAGTTTTTTGATCAAAGAAGGGGAAGCTGGTAAATTTACGACGAATATAATTTATTATTATAAATTCATTGCAAAAGAAACATCATCATTTTAGGAAGTCATTTGTACGTATCTGCCTCTGGACAGTTTGAAGTGATAAAAGAAGGTGCTGTGCTAGGAACATTAGGACCAGGAAAAGCTTTTGGCGAATTAGCTATTTTATACAATTGCACTAGGACTGCTTCGATAAGAGGTATGACTTTTAAAAAAAAATTTATTTCTAAACGTTTGTTTATAATTTTAATATTTCAGTGGTCGAAAATGCGGAAGTTTGGGTTTTGGACAGAAGAGTGTTCAAAAATATTATGCTCAGATCTGGTCTTCAGAGATTGGAAGACAGTATTTCTTTTCTTCAAAGTGTGCCTTTATTACACAACCTTAGTCAAACGCTTCTGTGCAAAATTGCTGATTCTATGCAACTGGTAAATTAATTTATTAAAATACTAAAATGAAAATGAAATCCTCTATGATGGTTGAACATAGATAATCTTTTTAAAAATACATAAGAAGTCACTTTTTTCTTTCATTGTTACTAATAATACCTGGAAAAATTAATATTGATAAATATTTATAGGAATTTTACCCAGGAGGACAGTATATTGTAAGGCAAGGAGCTACAGGTGATACATTTTATATTCTTAGCTGTGGAAATGTCAAAGTTACCCAAAAGTTACCAGGTAAAGTTTAATTTTATATACACTAATTTTATGGTCTGCTTGACCAATTAATATATTATAATTAATTAATGTTTTTAGTTAAGATAAAAAAGTCAATGGCATGAGCGGGATTCGAACCCACGACCTTCGGCTAGATACGCCGCTGCTCTACCACTTGAGCTTTCACCTCGATCCACTCGAACACTAACTTCCCATCTTAACCTCACTTTTGAATTTTCCCTCCTTTTTGCCATTTTTCAAATGTCGTGTAATTGGATTGGATTATCGGCGACAAATGACATTTGAAAAATGGCAAAAAGGAGGGAAAATTCGAAAGGTGGGGTTGAGATGGAAAGTTAGTGTCTGAGTGGATCAAGGTCACGATAGCTCAAGTGGTAGAGCAGCGGCGTATCTACCGAAGATCGTGGGTTCGAATCCCGCTCGTGACACTGACTCTTTTTTGTCTCAACTAAAAACCTTAATTAATTGACAGATTTTAGTTTTATACTTTTGAAGTGAAACTATGTTGGCTGATATTTTATTCACTCCTAGGAGAAATACAAGAAGAAGAAGTCAGAACATTAAGCAGAGGGGATTATTTCGGAGAACAGGCTTTGCTTAAAGAAGATTCTCGAACAGCTAACGTCATCGCTTTACCTCCAGGAGTAGAATGCCTCACGCTCGATCGAGAGTACGTCTTTGTGGCAAATTTTTTATTTTAATTTTTAAAAAAATTTAAATTTATGAATATTTTATAGATCTTTCATGTTGCTGATTGGTGATTTGAGTGAGCTGCAAGAAAAAGATTACGGCGACAAAGCAAGATTGTCCAGGCCACCAAGTGCCAACAGCTTTAACGATATTGATAATGGTATAATAAAAAAAAGGATATCGTTTAAAAGCACTGTACCGTTAAATATTAAGTTTCAGAAATCGAACATGTCGAGTTTAAAGATTTACAAATAGTCGCAACCCTTGGTGTCGGCGGTTTTGGAAGGGTCGAACTGGTGACAACTGCGTCAAATGTATTTGCTCTAAAGTGCCTTAAAAAATGCCATATTGTTGAAACACAACAGCAGACTCATGTTTATAGCGAAAGGGACATTATGTTTTCAGTCCGAAGTCCTTTTGTATGCAGGTATTATGCTCAATAATAACCTAAAAGAACCAAAGTAATAAATTTGTTTTAAAGGTTATACCAGACGTTCAGAGATGACAAATACGTCTATTTATTAATGGAAGCATGCTTGGGCGGCGAAGTCTGGAGCCTGCTTAGGGACAGGACTTGCTTCGATGATACAACAGCATGCTTCATAACCGCCTGCGTCATTCTAGCCTTAGAATATCTTCATACAAGAAACATTGTTTATAGAGATCTCAAACCTGAAAATTTACTGTTTGACGCTATGGGCTACGTCAAACTTGTAAGAAATATCACTCTTTACTATTAATAATTTTTTGATATATATTCATTTGGATAGGTGGATTTTGGATTTGCGAAAAAATTGGGCACGAATAATGGTAAAACTTGGACTTTCTGTGGCACTCCTGAGTACGTGGCACCGGAGGTGATTTTAAACAAGGGTCACGACAGATCTGTAGATTATTGGGCTCTCGGAATCCTCATGCATGAGCTTCTCACTGGAATGTAAGTTAATAATCACGGCCTGTTTTAATTCATTCATTCGGCTTTTTTTTATTAGTCCTCCATTTTCCTCTACTGACCCGATGAAAACTTACACGCTCATTCTAAAAGGAATAGAAAGTGTTGCCTTTCCGAGGCATGTGAGTAAAACGGCACAAAACCTGATAAAGAGGCTCTGCAGGGAAGTGCCTGGAGAAAGGCTAGGCTCATATCACGGTGGAATATCCGACATAAAAAAGCATAAGTAATAACAATAAACATATTAAATACACGAGAATAGCCTTGATTAAAAATTAATATTTTAATTTTTAAAGGTGGTTCCAAGGATTCGACTGGCAAGGTCTTGAAAGCAGAACACTAACCCCTCCAGTCACACCAGTAGTACGGTTTTATTATTTTTTTTTATAATAATAAATCTAAAAATTTGATCATTTATTGACATTTTGGGTTACCTTGCTGTTTTGGTTTGCCAAAATACATGTTACAAATCAAACCAATGAGGATAAGCAGACCAAAATTGAAAAACAATCAAGCTACAAAATATAAACATAAAGAAGATATTTATTAAATTGTCTCACTTTGGATTTTATTTTAAAAACTTTTTTTCAGGTCAATGGTCCTACTGATGTTTCTAACTTTGATCATTTCACCAAAGATGACGCTATACCGCCTGATGAACTCTCTGGTTGGGACAACGATTTTTAAAAATGTTACCGTTTAATACGTATTTTTTTAAATATTGCCAATTATGTATTGTAAATAATCTGTAATATAAATATATATTTTTTATTTAACAGTTTAAAATAAAATAATATTTTTAAATTCACTAATTTCGTGGTCCGCTTGACCAATTAATATATTATAATTAATTAAGGTTTTTAGTCGAGATAAAAAAGTCAATGGCACGAGCTTCTTCCATGATAGCTCAAGTGGTAGAGCAGCGGCGTATCAAGCCGAAGATCGTGGGTTCGAATCCCGCTTGTGCCATTGACTTTTTTATCTCGACTAAAAACCTTAATTAATTATAATAATTTTTTTTAACAAGTTGTCCGCAAGTGATTCGCATTTAGGCACGTTTTTGTATTTTGTACAAATTAATTTTGCCTAAAAAAAGAGCAATTTTTTGGAAAAACTTCCAGTGGACAAAAGCACTACAGATGCCTATCACTGTCAAAAAATCAACAGAATCACCCAATGGCAATAAATTGACAAAAAGTTCAAACAGAACAACTATCGACTCTGAACTGTTTTGTGGCCCAGAAAATTGCCAAAATTCATGAGAAAATGAGTTAAGAACATCAGTTCAATGGAAAATATTATATTCCTGGACAGAAAATTCCTTTAAATCTAAAATTAATTTTCGATTAAGGTTAAAATAAATTTTATTAAGATAAATCAATTAAGGAAACACACAGAAATCTTCTTTAGATAAGACATTTTTAGGGCCAACCTCTTCCAATTTCCAAAACTTGGCTATGTTCCGTTCTTCTGACTGGTCTGATTCCCTATTTGGAACTAACTGATTGTCCACATCAACCAACAAAACCACTTGTTTGAAGGCAGTCAGCAAGTTTCAGCAGAGAAGGAGAAACTTTGATAGGTTTGTCAATGATGATGTCATAATAAAAATCGGCCACTAGCAAGAAATTGATCCGATCAGGGAGGCAAAAGAAAGGCTCAGCCAAATTAAATGGTTGATAGTCATGTCTGGGATGAGTCGCAAGTGAGAAAGCTTGCCAGTTATGGTGCTCACAGCGATGATGTCTCGTACAAATTATTTTCTCTGCAAACCGCTTTATTTTAGCTTTGTGATGTTGACACTTTTCGATTCTTCCTTTAAAACAGGCATTTTGTTGTAGGGATAACGGCCAAGATAGGAACAATAAAGAATGTAAGAAGATAGGGAGCATTAAATTTTGTAAAATACCGCTTGGTGAATGGAGTGCTATACAAGATGTGTGACTATTCTAAATTAAATTTTGTACATTTCTCAATACAAATAAACTTTAGTATTAAATTAAGTTCTCAAATGAAAGCAAATAACAGCTAGAAATCCGGCCCGGAGGACCAAATGTCAAGGCACTAAGGGAGTTTTGGTTACTCCAATTAAGCTCATAAATAAACACCAATCTCTAGCTGGGAAAGGAATCAGCATTTTAAAGAAAATCCAGAGAAAATGAATTTACTACCAAGATTGACATGTAGATAAAATAAAATTAGCAAAATTAAATCTGAATATACAAAAGAATAAGGCGTAAAATCTAAATTTAAAACCCAAAGGTAGAAACTATAAATCGAAGAATTAAGATGAAGAAATATAAATTTTATGTATTGTCAATCGAAGAATAGCCACTCGGACGGCCAGGCAGCACTGAAGGCAAGTGCCACATCAGTCGTAAAGTTCAAAGTTGTTTAGGACTGCATTACAGTCCTGTCAGACAGTTGGGAAAATAACAAAATTACCTTTGTCTGGGTACCAGGATACACAGGGCAGAAGGGCACCGAAGAAGCTGACAAATTGGCCAAGGAAAGTTCAACGAGGACATCTATTGGCCCTGAACCCTTTTCTGGCTTACCAAACTGCCAAAAACATGGATCCATTTGACAATGGAATAAAAAATAAGTCCTCTGTTCAATGAAAATATAGCCTGGGACAGAAGTATGTAAAAAAGTTTATCAAAGGATCATCACAGAAACCAACGGCAGAACTACTAAACCTAGGACATGCTAGGACTAGAATAATAGTTGGACTGCTGATTGGAGAGTGCAGACCTGGAGGTATATAGACTCAGTGTGGCAAAAACAAACCTGTGCACATGCCAAGAAGAAGAAGAAACAGTGCAACATGTTGTTTGTTGGTGCTAAGGCCTATCTAGGCTGAGATTCCTCATCCTGGGAGAGGAAAAGCCAGGGCCTAAAGGATACACGCAGAAGCCCTTGAAAAAGCTTTGGGGCCTTGTAAAAAGCCTTAAGCTTTACGACTTTACGAGGAGCTCTAGATTTAAAAAAAAAAGGACATGCACAATAGACCAATACTCACAATACAAAATAGTTGTAGTGTGTAGTTCATAAAGAAGCCAGCTCCTATACAATCTAATATAACATGAATTTTTAAAATTTTAATATTTATAATTAAATTCACTAATTTCATGGTCCGCTTGACCAATTAATATATTACAATTAATTATGGTTTTTAGTTGAGATAAAAAAGTCAATAAAGGAGGGAAAATTCAAAAGGTGGGGTTGAATTGGGAAGTTAGTGTCCGAGTGGATCGAAGTCACGATAGCTCAAGTGGGAGAGCAACGGCGTATCTAGCCGAAGGTCGAGGGTTCGAATCCCGCTCGTGCCATTGACTTTTTTATCTCAACTAAAAACCTTAATTAATTGTAACATATTTATAATTTTTAATATATCATTTTACAGAATTTGTTAAGTATAAAAATATAAGTAAAAGATATTGAAGTTTAGCAATAACCAAAAAATTACTAAAAACCAAATATTTTTCAAGTGAACTAGTTCATAATTTTTTTTTCTGTAAAACAAATATGAAATTTAGTTTTAGCACCCTAAGTCTATAGACCCCTAAATATAAATTTTTGTTTGAATTTAAATTGATCAATTTTTGTCCTCAAATTGTTCTGATTTTTAAAAAGTCATTCTCAGAATATCTGATTTAAATGGCTATAATTCAAAAACCAGTAAAAATTTTTAATAATAAACATACCATTTGAAAGAAGAGAAATGTAGCTTTTAATTGATGTAGGTACGATAAAAATACATAAAAGATTTCTGTAAGAAAATACATAAAATTAACAAATTAACCTCATTTTTTAAATAAAAATAATAGTTTAATTTTAATGTTTGATATAGTTATAAAATCCACTTGACAATTTCTTCCAAACGATTTATAAACCATGAAAATCGGTCCTGAAAATTTTGAGAAAAATAGTATTAGAGCTTGTATGAGGAAAGTCATCAGGTCATCGAAATTATCAGTCAAGAAATTAATGTACATTGATTTATCCGAAAGTCGCTATTTAAGGATTTTTAATGCTAGAATCATGACAATGAGGACGAATCAAAGTTTTGACCACTTTCTGACCTTTTTTACTTACAGAATGTTTGTTAAAATATGCACACAAAAAAAAGATTTTGTTGATTTATCTTTTCAAATTATACCAAATTATAATATTTGCATCGTAGAATATTTTTGTTTTTATCTTAATCAGCAATGAAATGAATACACCAAAAAAATATTTTTTTTAAAGAATTTTTTTGGTTATTGATAAACTTTGTTATCTTTTACTACATTTTTATTGCAAAATACATAAAAAAATGCTGTAAAATGGAATATTTATATAGTTGATTTGAGTGAGTAGAACAGTAAAAAATATTTAAAAAATGAAAACTTTCAGCTTTAAAAAAAAAAAGTGGCACCTAGGTGTTCGATATTTTGGAGTGTGAAATCACCAAAAAAGTTTGGTCCAAATCCGTGATACCAACCTGATTGTTGCCTTGTAAGTAATTACTAAAGACAAGAGCTATTAAAAAGCTTTGAGATCTATAAAAAAGCCTAATGCTTAAGCAAGAGCAGAAAATGATAGACCAACATTGGCCATGGAGCATTAGGTTGTAAACAGGGTGTCCACTTTTCACCTTATCTTCAGGTTTAAGGATCAACAAGCAACACTCAAGGAGGATCCTACCGATCAATATTTAATAGTCCTACTGTTCCTTGGGTCAAGAACGAACACAGAAGCAAAAAATTATTTTCGGTTTCAACGCACTTGAGGACGAACCATGCTATCTGCAAATCTCATTTGTATAGGATCAGACTCAGTTACCAAATTGCCCAACCTATGACGAACCAGAGACCTTCAAACACTTAGTGTTCTCCTGTAGAGCACGAAACGAAAGGAACTCTTTTTGACCGACTATTCCTGCTGAAAGAAGTAATTAAGCCGTTTTGTTTTGAGAGCCTGTTGACATCAGGAGGAAAAGTTTATAGAGGAATTTATGAATTTCTACAGAACACCGGGTTGGACATATAGTTAAGTCAGATAGCCAAGTGGGCTGGGATTCCGCTGGATGGGTCTGGGCTGGGTGGGTTGCTGAGCGGGGGTCGAAGAAAGTGCACAGGGCAAGTTGTGCCCTGGACTGTGGGGAAGATGCGGACTTTTTTTTAAATTGGTTGTATCAAAATCATCTCAGACCTAGGGACTGTACTGTGTGATTGAAAACAAGAGTGGTCAAAATTAACTAATGGTGGTACACCAAGTTGAAATGGCACTGTGTTCTGTGACCATTTCCCCTTTAAGCGAAGAGAGTTGATGGAATTCATCAGGATGGATTTCTGAATTTGAAGATTTATAAGAAGAAAGTGCACAGGGCAAGTTGTGCCCCGGACTCCAGGGAAGATGCGGACTATTCCACGGCCTAACCAGGGGATGTAAGTGGTTTTTATCCGCATCTTTCTGAAGCATCCGAATCAGGGTGGTGATGCCCAAATGTCAAATGTCTATACTTAATAGGTAATAGGTGCACTTTGGCCGACTGCTCTGGATGCCTGGTCTGGATCCATTCTGGCGGGATCTGGGACACTACTAAAAAAAAAAAAATTCAATAAGTGACATGCAAAAATAAATAATAAATGCTGTTTTTTAACCATTAATCCATTTTTTCATCACATAACAGGATAATCGGTATATAGATAATCTTTGAAAGCTGTTAAAACAATTTAAACTTAACAAGCTCTAGACGATGTTAGAGATCACAAGTAGACCAATATCGACCACAGTGCGCAAGGTATTAAAGAGGCCGATTATTTTAAAGATTTAACCTTTAACCTCAGGATCGTTCTTCAAAATTAATGAATACTCAAGGAATGGGAAAATTTCACCAAAGTATAACTTTTTTTTATTATAACTATGTTATTCACATATAGAACACTTTTTCATTTATTTCTTAAGAAATATCATAGTCCTCACAATTCTTTGGCTTATGACATAAAAATTGTTAACACTTAATACTCTCTCTCGCTCTCTCTCTTTTTCATTTTAAAATATCAATTAAATGTATTGATGAATTGAAAAAAAATACATAAAATCAGTAACATTTAATATCACAGGTAATATAATATATTAAATTCAAACTTCAACATAAAAAAAATCCAACTAATTGACTAAATTGGTATTTCAATAATTACCTAACTCTTTGGCAAAAAGTTCACTTCTTCATTCTATCATGGCTACAAACCAGCTTTTTTTAAATAATTTAAAGCGCAAACTTAGACTTGCTCAAGTTTCAAATAAGTGAGAAATTATTGCTTCTGGTTTATATAAGAGTCAAATTAGTCGGCTGACTCTACAACACTTCAAAAGGACGGCGTAATAATAATTTTTATTAAATATTACAATTGACTCAAATACATCGGTGAGATACACAAAAGCAATCAAAAAATAATTTGCCCTTTGCTGTAGCATAGACATGGTAGAACTTTGAAGTAAAAAATGAATTACGTTTTACTAAATTATAATAAAATTTATGTAACCGATATTAAACTTTCTCAACACAAAAATATTCAAATTACCTCTTAACAAAATATTGCACTAATACATTATTTACACAAAATATATTATTTATTAGATGAAAATGCAGTTGGCACATTTTTTGAAATATTTTCAACATGAAAATTACCACATTTAATGAATAAACAAAATTTTTCAATCATCAATTTGTTTAAAAGCAAATGTAAAATATTATTGATACGACAATTGATTAAAAATGACAATTACTGAAATTCTAAGACACAAATTTTATATACAATTATTTGCAAAAAGTTTATTTCCCTTAGTTAATTTATTTTGCAAGGGAACTTGTTAAACATTCCCTGCCTTTTTAGGTAAATTTTATAAGGACAGCCATTATAATTACTTTGAATACAATTGTTGTTAATTGTTTTTGGCAAAATGATCACAAAGAAATTGCTTATTTTGTATTTTAAAAACAAAGGATACCTCCTCACTCATAAAATATTTGATTCATTGGTAACAAAAGAAATGCAAGCAATCATAACAATTTTTTTTTTAAATGGGACTTTTTCCCTAATCACATTATAAAGCATTGACAAGTCCCCTTATCATTATATTCCCAAAGATGTTATTACTAAGAATAAGCAAAGAATTGGAAATTGCAAAATTACAGCCGAGTTGCTGACCTCCTGGTGGACGACTATTGCAGCAGTCAGAATGCTCAGGCTCAATTCGGTCGAAACCTGCGGGCTGTTCCTCTGTACTAGTACTGCGATCTTTTCAGCTTCGAGAACGCATGCCTCCATCTGTAAATCTGAAGGGTTGTTGATTGACGGAATGACTAGAATGAGGATGTTCATTTCGATGGTGAGTTGACCCCTGAGCGTGCACTCGGCCACTTGAATCTTCCTGCTCAGTGCGCTCAAAACAGCTTCAACAGTAAATGACTCGTTGAGCTCACCATTAAGCGAAATTTCCATAATTCTATCGATCTGTTTTTGACTGGAAAACAAAGAACAATGTAAACACTATATTATAGTCCATAACATAACATATATATTTTCAGTACAAAAATTGCTTCAATATTCTGTTTACATTGCAAATTGTCTTTTTTTAAATGAAATTTTTAAATTTTATCAACTCCAATGGAAACAAGTGGTGTTTATTCAATTTTAAAGCACTTAGGTATAATGATGTATATATTTGATTGCTATCACAAGAGTACAAGCCAAATCTCAAAGAAAAGAGCTGCCATTGACTTGGCATGGATCAGTATGTTTGAGCTTGCTGCAATCATAAATTATTTTGAGTGCCATATGATCCAGACCATCGCTAACCTTAACCTTTGATCTAATTAAATTCACTAATTTCGTGGTCCGCTTGACCAATTAATACATTACAATTAATTAAGGTTTATAGTTGAGATGAAAAAAAGTCAATGGCACGAACAGGATTCGAACCCACGATCTTCGGCTTGATACACCGCTGCTCTACCACTTGAGCTATCGTGACCTCGATCCACTCGGACATCAACTTCCTATCTCAACCCCACCTTATTGAGTTTTCCCTCCTTTTTGCCATTTTTGATCTAATATTAACCTTATCAAATTTAAATCATTTCTAACCTTAACACTAGGTCTAATAGTTACCCTAACTAACCTAAACCACTTCTAACATTAACCCTAGGTCTAATAATAATCCTACTTGACCTTAACCATTTCTAACCTTAACGCTAGGTCTAATAATAATCCTAGATAACCTTATCCATTTCTAACCTTAACCCTAGGTCTAATAATGATCTTACTTGACCGTAACCATTTCTAACCTTAACCCTAGGTCTAATAATAATCCTACTTGACCTTAACCATTTCTAACCTTAACACTAGGTCTAATAGTAACCCTAACTAACCTAAACTACTTCTAACATTAACCCTAGGTCTAATAATAATCTTACTGACCTAAACCATTTCTAACCTTAACTCTAGGTCTAATAGTAACCCTAACTAACCTAAACTACTTCTAACATTGTATAATAATAATAATCCTCTTTGACCTAAACCATTTCTAACCTTAACCTAGGTCTAATAATAATCCTACTTAACCTTATCCATTTCTAACCTTAACCCTAGGTCTAATAATAATCCTACCTAACCTAAACCATTTCTAACTTGAACCCTAGTTCTTCTACTAACTCTACATAATCTAACCTAAACTATTCCTAACCCTAATGTAAGTTTTAACATTTACCCTACTTAACCCAACTTAAACCATCCCTGAGACTTTCTTTGCTTTCATTTGTCTGGCATAGATCTAGGGTGTTACACAAGTATGAAACTGTTTGACAAGTGCTTTTTTTGTGGTGGTTTGAAATATTACAGAAGGTTTCCTGGACCTACTGGTGATGTTGAATGGGAATCACCATATTGCTCAATTGTATCACAAGCAGTAAATTAACAAATGAATTAACAAATAAATTATTATCAATCCATGTGCTTCTAAAGTTCAGATTTTACCTGCACTTATAATTTGTTTATTGAGATATACTAAGAAATTATCAAGGAAACAGAAAAAATCCATTAAAAAAGGATTCATAAAATTGTTTTAAAAAAATTCTAGGGATTAAGTTGGAGGCTGTTTATAATGACATAGTTCTACTATGGGTTGTATGGAAAATAATGCAGGTTTATAGTTTCAAAATAAAAAACAATTCTCTATACCATCTGAATAGAATTTTGAGTTTTTACTTTTAATACATTTTCTAATGACTTGATCATTAAATATTTTTATGTTGTAAAACATTGCCCAGGTGTCTGAAAAAATGGTAGTCAGTAGAAGTCTGGAGTATGAGGCAGAAGTCATAACCAAGATCCAAAAGTTTTCATCCTGTTCCATTCAAGATATGGAGGCCGAGCGATGTCATGTAATAGAATCACTTTTCTAATTGTCCAATCAACCAAAAATCACTTCAATAATGCCAATTTCTGGTGCATTGCTTCAATTTGAAAGCAATTCATTTCAGCATAGATTTTTTCCTCACGTTTCATGAAGCTGTGGTAAATTAGCTCAAATGAAGTCCACCAAAGAATCATCATCACCTTTTTTTGATGAGTAAGGGGGCTTTGGAAAATGTAGTGCTGCTTCCCCTTTGTTGAGCCACTATCCAGATTGTTTGCTGTTATTGTAGAGAATCCACTTTTCATCTCAAGTACCAATTCGATTAAGAAAAGGTTTGTTTCTGTTTCAGCAAAGAAGTGTTGCACAAACTTCATAACGATAATTTTTTTGCTGGTCTAAGCATGAGGAACCCAACTTTCAAGCTTTTTCACATTTCCAAAAGGTCCGCTTTAAAATGGTCAGCGAAGGTCAATTTGGAAAGTGAAAGATTCTCTGCAAATTCCCAACCTTCTTTGTTTTCAAGGCTTAAGTCTCCCTCTCGAAATTTTTTAAACTATCGCTGAACGATCTTTCACTCGCACTGCCGTACCCCCAGACTTTGTTTTTGGCTGTTTGGACATCATGCCGATTGAGAACTCATAAAATGAAATTAATACTTTTTAGGCTTACTACTGCTATGAAATTTTTATGTGTGTCAGACAATGAGATAGAAGAGTATATTAGCTAATAAATAAATAATTAAATACCTGTATAGAAGGTTTACAGCACCACCACATACAGGACAGCATGCTCCAGGAGGAGTATACCCTATACAATTTTTCTGTTTCAGCTCTGGGCAAACCACATTTGAACATTGTTCTTTAGGAATATTATCAATAAGGCCGACATTGATGCAAGGGCCATAATAGTCGATATGGACCAATCTTGCCATTGCTGAACAAGAAGATGAATATGTGTTTCCGTCTGCACCGCAGACTTCCTTTCCTTCATCCACACAATTCTAAAATAAACTTTATTAAAATCTGTGTCGAAGAACTCGCCTAGAAAGCGAAGCGCATTTCTTACCATACAGGGACCATGATAAGCAAGCTCCTGCGCGTTATAAAGCATTGAGCAAGGGTTTTTCAGCGTTTCCCCAGAAGTGGTACAAACCGTGCTTTCCGGCTGGACAGTGCAATTTATGTGTCCGTCAACTACAAATTTTGATTTGTTTTTTACTGAAAAGTAGCATGATTGTATGTGACACAATGTGAAAGAGAAAAATTGAGGAGTGCTTAGGGGTTGATAACTTACCACAGACGTATTGGGAACACGTTTTGTACACACTGTGCAAACACACTCTCCTCTTTGGTATGCAGCTGTCAGATATGGGACATGGATTTGGGTTACACGGATCACGACTTTCACAAGTGCCATTTTTGTAATCGTTTTCAAAAAGCCCAAAACAGCTAAACATGAAATTTATATTTATGAAACAAATAATTTTTTTTTTCTGTTTTATATGACTTACTTTGCAAGGTGAAAATTTGGATAAGTAACTCCATTCCATCCACAAACTGGAGAATATTCTGCAGTTGAGTTGCAAGGGAGAGTTGTTACATCAGCAATGTCAACTCCATGCCCGGCGCATTGCTTTTTACTGCAAGTAATTTCGCCATCGTAACATGAGCATAAATTACAACCCATGTAGAAAGTAGACCCATGCTCTAAAAAAAAGTATTTTTATCTTTTAATTAATAAATAATAATATAAACATTTTTTGAAAAACATTAGTTTGAATCCATTATATTTAGTGGTCTGATTGACTAAATTACTTCTTTCAATTAATTAATCTTTTTATGTAAGGTTTTGGTTAAAATGAAAAAGTTAGTGTCACGAGCGGGATTCAAACCCACGACCTTTGGCTCAATATGTCGCTGCTCTAACTGCTTGACGGTCACGATAGCTGAAGTGGTTAGAGCATTGGCGTATCAAGCCGAAGGTCGTGGGTTCGAATCCCGCTCGTGACACTAACTTTTTCATCAAAACCCAAACCTTACATAAAAAGATTAATTACTTGAAATTAGTTTGAATTTTTGCAGATTTATTTATCTGCCTGACGAATAATATTTTTATATATAATCCATTAACGATTGAGAAGTGAAATTAATTACCAATTCTATCTCCGCCAGATACACAAAGTTCTTGTTTTTTGCAGTAATTTGTAGCGCAATTTTCGATATGGCCTTGTTCAGAACACTGGCATATCATATGGCATTCTTCATTTTTCATCATGTTCGTCACTAGTTTTGCATATGTTCCAGCAGGCACCATGAACTTTGTCGACTCGCCAAGTCGGCACCCTAAATTTTACACAGAAATAATTAGTAGTATCTAATTTTTAATTAAAAACTATTAGTGTTTGGATAAAAAGTGGCAACTTTGGTAAAAAAATGTTGCACTAATTTGACCAACTAGTTTATTTATTTTTTTTTTTTAAGAATTCAGTTCGCGTTTGATTTTAAGATTTTTTTTAAAAGTAATGGAGTGTTAAGTTGTATTTCTATTTGGGTGACTTTCTTGATTACAAATCAATTTCACTTTCGAGGAACATGATCTTTTGTTTGATATCTGATTTTAATTGACTCTCTCTCTCTCNCTCCTTCACTCTCTATTGAAAATCTGAAGAATGAAATGGATTGTTAAATTGATATTTACGAGCTTGAAATAAAGAGAGATTGAAATCAGCAGATTTATTTTTTATGGAATGATGAACAATAAGGTGAACTGTTTTGTCAATGTTTGTTATCCAAAGTTTCCCAAAAATTTGCATTTTTGATCTTCGACAAATAAAAAGCTGCTATGTCATAAACAATTTCATCCCGCCTTTGTGTTATTTTTCTATACTTTATACATACAAACTTCAAATATTAACGTAATTAAATAAATTGTTCAACATGAAAAGTTCTTCAGTATTAAAAATCCTAAGCAATTTTGTTTTATTTAATGGTGAAACTTCAAATTCAGTCTAATATTAATTTTGTTGTTAAGGAACATTAGTTAAAACTTAAATTCACTAATTTCGTGGTCTGCTTGACCAATTAATATATTACAATTAATTAAGGTTTTTAGTTGAGATAAAAAAGTCAATAGCACGAGCGGGATTCGAACCCACGATTCAGCTAGATACGCCGCTGCTCTACCACTTGAGTTATCGTGACCTCGATCCACTTAGTGTCCAAGTGTTCCCATCTCAACCCCACCTTTTAAATTTGGTGCCATGAATGCCATGAAAAATTGCAAAAAGGAGGAAAAATTCAAAAAGTGGAGTTGAGGTGGGAAGTTAGTGTCTGAGTGGATCAAGGTCACGATAGCTCAAGTGGTAGAGCAGCGGCGTATCTAGCCGAAGGTCGTGGGTTCGAATCCCACTCGTGCCATTGACTTTTTTATCTCAACTAAAACCCTTAATTAATTGTAATTAGTTAAAACTTTATGTTTACATATTTTTTTGGAAAGTCCAATGACACAAAATTTAAAATGTTCATTTTTGCCAAAATGGCCAAAATCCGCTATTCTACGCAACCAGATCTCCCAAGTTCACACTGTTACTTTGTTGTCCAGCTGTTTTTTTTGCATTAAATCATGGCTTCAAGTACAAGGAATGATTAAAAACCTTGAAATATTTTATGAAATATAATATTGTAAATAAATTGAATATTAACAAAAAAAGAATGGTTAAATAAGAAATTCACTAAATATAGGACTTTATATGTTTGCATACAATGAATCAATAAAGTTGACTCATGTTTAGGTCAACGTTCAACATTTACCCTGATTTCCACCACTCACGATTTTTATTTTTTATCAAAGATCAAAAAAGAGATAAATATTAGTCCGTATTTAGTAAAGTTTGGGAAATAAAAATTGTTATTTTAGAAAGGAACTGCAATATCTGGCTTTTTTTACGATTTTATATAAGTTTTCTATTTGCCTGTTTTAAAAAATATGCTGAAAGTAAAAGATAAATGTATAACATAAAAAAATATTGGACGTTTTCTGTTTGTACGCAATGAATCAGTCAATTTGAAAAAGGTTTAGGTCGATGGTTCGACTCTGATCTTACATAAATTCTTGGGGGTGTCAGTGTTTCTGAAAAAAGCCTGTTTGTAAGTATGTCGGGCTCGAATGCAGGGACGCAGGATTCAAACCTGGGACCTTTACCTTACATTGATGACCACCAGTCAATTTTTAAGTTAAACCTATCATTTATGATGTTAATCTATCCAGTCTTAGTTATTTTCACCTTTGTCTAATTTTTTATTTATTTTAGAAGAATATTTGTTTTTTTAAATTATTTATTAAGTAAAATGATGCAATATTTATGCAAAATGACTGGGTGAACACATACCTGGTGTACATTGGTGATGGTCACAGTCTGAATCCGGTGAGCAGAATTTGTTCACCTGGCAGTACTGATTATTGCGACAAGGATGGTTTTTGCACGGTTTCGTTATAGATGCTTCTTCAACGGGGTCTCTATGTTCAAAGAACGACTGAAATGTGTTGCACCCTTCATCGGCATTCTGTGGAGCGAGGATATCGCAGATCTTGTGAATTGTGATTTTATTCGCATCGCCTCTGATTCTCTCCCAGTCGAAACAAGACTCCAAAACTCTTTTACAATCGTCCCTGAACCATAATAAAAATTAATTAATCAAATATTAAACATATGGCAAAATCATACCTGCATATGCGAGTGGTTTGCGTATGTCTATGGCAAGGTTTTAGTTGAAGTGTGCAGGCGATTGTTTTCCAAGTGATTGGATGACAGTTGGTACTGTTCCTGATGTATAAATCCTTGACCATCGGTAACTCGATGACACCTCGCCTCAACCAATCACCATAATCCGATCTTGCGGCTAAATCTGTTTCACTGTTGCAACTTCTGAATAACTCAGTAGGCCGGTTATTAAAGTTATCACAGAAACCTAATCCATCACAGCCCAACTCGCAAGGCTCTTCAACTGAAATAAATCATTACTTTTATACATAATCAATTGAGACATATAAATTCACATAAAATCTCAGAGAAACAAGAAGATTTGAATAATTATAACAAAACAATAGAGTATGACTCAGTTGAGTGTAGTCTGTAATCCATTAAATTTGTGTGGTTTATTTTTTCTACTAAGAAAACCATTTATGTTACACAACCTAGTCATAACAAAGGGGGAATGGAAACTCTCAGCAGCCAGATTTATGCGCATAATGTTGAAATACCTGATTTGATTACTGTTCGGTAAATGGACATGGAAAACAAACAATTCTCAACACTGGATGTGCACGATAATTAATTTAAATATTAAAATAACTTTTTAATTATTGTTTGTTGTTTTACTGAATTGATTTTGAAAAAAAGAATACAGAGTGAAAAAAGAAAAACAATTAATGCAATAATTATTACATTAGAATTAAAATTATTGTATTCCTTTCTTAAAATATACATTGTACGCTATAATTAATTTTTTCCGAGAGAATGAGGAGAGGGTCCTGTTCACCCTTAGTATCTACAATTAATATCTATTAAATATAGCTACAAACTTTGCCTTATTTGGTTAAAGGGTAAAAATTTAAAAACCATTTTCCTTCGACTGGAAAAACCTAGCAATATGCTTTATTTTAATAATTACATTACAATTTAATAATAAATAAGTTAATTTTTATAAATAATTATTTGGCTGGTGCAAAAATAATGCCATTTTGAAAAACAGTCAAAACTATTTTTGGTTTTTATAAAATAAAGAAAATTTATTCGAAATGTTTTCCATCACAATCTATACGTCTTTCCAACATGTAATGAGTGCTTTTACTCCGCAGATTTAAAAATCTTTAATTTGACTCGCAATAAAGTCTTAAAATGCTTTTTCAGCTTCGATGCATTTTCTAAAAATTTTATCCCTCAAATTGATCGAAATGCTTAAAAATGTTGAAGTCTGTAGGCGAGAGATCGGGTGAATACGGAGGATGCAGTAAAGTTTCATATCACAATAAAAATCTTGAAACGCTTTTTCAGCTTCGTTGCATTTTCTAAAAATTTTATCCCTCAAATTGATCAAAATGCTTAAAAATGTGGAAGTCTGTAGGCGAGAGATCGGGTGAATATAGAGGATGCAGTAAAGTTTCATATCATGATAAAGTCTAGAAACGCTTTTTCAGCTTCAATGCATTTTCTAAAAATTTTATCCCTCAAATTGATCGAAATGCTTAAAAATGTGGAAGTCTGTCTGGAGGGTGCGGTAAGGTTTCATATCCTAAGTCCTTAAGTTCTCGCAGAGTTGGCACATGTAGCCTGGCATTATCCTGTAGAAGAATCGGACCCTTACTGTTTACCAATTCTGGACAAAGACATTGCAGTTTCCCGTGCATTTTGCCAATTTCACCATGTAGATCATTTTGGTAACAGGTCTGATGCATCCATTTTTAACATATGGGTCTGTTCAGTATGCACCCCTCCAACCCTTCGATTACTTCCTAGCTCTCTCCCTCTCCCCGTGTGTGTATGTGTGTGTGCATGCAGCAGAGTGAAAATGATAAAAGTAGGTCCGGTTCAAAAATATATTTAGAATTAATTTCCCTAATTGTTCAACCCTGTGAAATCTGCCATAAATTCACCTTTCCAGGTTATTCCTTTTATAGATTTAAACAGGCCAAACAAACATACCTTCATCTAAACACTGTGCGAGATTGTCGCCTTCAGATGTTCTCAAACACTTCTCTTCAAAAATCTGCCAGCTTGAGAAATCGACGGTGAAAACTTTGAAACATTTGTTCTTGCAGAACTCGCTTTGTGCCTTCCTGCAGCAGTACTTTTTAGCAGCGTCCACTCCCAATTTCGTCCTGTTTCTCGGACCTTCATGATCACTGTTTATCAAACATTGGAACAACTTATCCTGAAAAAATAAAAATTTTGTTTTTTAACCGTTAACTTTTAATTCCAAGCTACTTACATTAGGGGGCAAATTTTTACAACCGCCTTTCCTTAGTGAGTTGACAATATCCTCTGCTGCCTTATTCCTGCTAAGAGATTTTTTACATGATTCTTTACATTTTGCATTTGGAGCCTTGTTGCAGCAAGCATTGTCTTAAAAAAAATTAAAAAATGTATTATTTTGTAATGAACGAACACAACAACAAAGGCTATTTACATTTGCTATGGTGACTTGAGATCGCGGCCGGCTTGCTTATGTTGTTTATGCAATGCATGACCGGGGATGAACATGTGTTAGCTAAATGAGTTCTGGAGACATGAGCCGGTGAATGTAACCACTTCCTGCACAGCGTGTGGCATTCCGGCTTCCTAGCCAAACCACAGCAGTCTTCTCCTATCTAGTATCAATTAAAAATAAAGAAATAGATAAAGATTAAAAATAGACATTTCATTAGAAATCAACAGTAAAAAAAAAGGATTATATAATTGGAGGAGCTATTTACTTGGAAGCAGTGAAGTACAAACATAAAATTAAAAATTTTGCAAAGAATTTGACACTAAAAAATATATTGAATGACGCCTGAAACCTGTCACGGGTATACTAAACCTGCACGACTTTCGAGCGTTGCGGAAGTGTTGATTTTACGCAAGGGCCAAATTTATAATGAACTAATTGTTTGATAATTTATTTATTACTATGTACGTGAAATGAATTTTTAGTAAATTTATATATGTACGTATAAAATAACGAAGTATATATAATAATAAATCAAATAATATTTAATTTATGATTAATTACAAATAAATAAAGATTAAAAATAAGCATTACATTAAAAATTATTGTAAATAAATATAAATAACATAAATGTTAAATACTACAAATAATTTCATTGAAATGTACGTGAAATGAATTTTTAGTAAATTTATATATGTATGTATAAAATAAAGAAGTAAAGATATAATAAAAATCATATTTAATTTATGATTAATTACAAACAAATAAATAAAGATTAAAAATAAGCATTACATTAAAAATTAATAGTAAAAATAATAAGGATTATTTAATTGGATGAGTTATTTACTAGGGAACAGTGAAGTATAAACATCAAATTACTTTTAATTACATAAAATTACAAGTTTGATGTCTAGTTGCTGAAAAGAAACCCAATCAATATAAAAAGTCGACAACCGAAAAAGAAGAGTAAAAATTTTAAAATAATTAATTTTCGAATAAATGTTAAACTGTATATAGTGGATGACGCCTTAAATCGGACACCGGTATACTAAACCCTCACGACTTGCGAGCGTTGCAGAAGTGTTGGTCTTGCACCAGGGCCGATTTATAATGAACTAATTGTTTCATAATTTATTTATTACTGTTAATAATTAGTAGTTTGAATAAAAGTAAACAAAAAATATAAAGGCAAAAATGACGGATACTAAAGTTAAGGATTAGTACTAGATCAGGCCATCTGGTCATAAACCATAATTACTGTTCTAACCAATAATTGGTCTTAATTATTAAGACATACATTGGAGATTGGATGTAATACAATATAATATTTTGTATATAAAGCAGAAATAAAAGTAATTAAATACAAATAATATAAATGTTAAATATAAATAATTAGATTGAAATAAACGATAAGTGAATTTATAGTCAATTTATACTTATTCATATTATAGTATATCAAAAATATTTAATTGATGATCAATTAAAAATAAGTAAATAAAGAATAAAAATAGGCATTACATAAAAAATTAGTCGTGAAAACAATAAGGATTATTTAATTGGATAAATTATTTACTTGGAAGCAGTAAAGTATAAACATATAATTACTTTTAATTACATAAAATTACAAGTTCCTGAAGAAACCCAAGAAATATCAAAATTCAACAACCAAGAAAGAAGAGTGAAAAATATAAAATTATTAATTTTCAAATAATTTTAAAACCGTATGTAATGAATGACGCCTTAGATTTGACATCGATATACTAAACCCTCACGACTTGCGAGCGTTGCAGAAGTGTTGGTCTTGCACCAGGGCCGATTTATAATGAACTAATTGTTTCATAATTTATTTATTACTGTTAATAATTAGTAGTTTGAATAAAAGTAAACAAAAAATATAAAGGCAAAAATGATGGATACTAAAGTTAAGGATTAGTACTAGATCAGGCCATCTGGTCATAAACCATAATTACTGTTCTAACCAATAATTGGTCTTAATTATTAAAACATACATTGGAGATTGGATGTAATACAATATAATATTTTGTATATAAAGCAGAAATAAAAGTAATTAAATACAAATAATATAAATGTTAAATACTATAAATAATTAGATTGAAATAAACGATAAGTGAATTTTTAGTAAATTTATACTTATTCATATTATAGTATATCAAATAATATTTAATTGATGATCAATTCAAAATAAATAAATAAAGAATAAAAATAGGCATTACATAAAAAATTAGTCGTGAAAACAATAAGGATTATTTAATTGGATAAATTATTTACTTGGAAGCAGTAAAGTATAAACATATAATTACTTTTAATTACATAAAATTACAAGTTCCTGAAGAAACCCAAGAAATATCAAAATTCAACAACCAAGAAAGAAGAGTGAAAAATATAAAATTATTAATTTTCAAATAATTTTAAAACCGTATGTAGTGAATGACGCCTTAGATTTTACACCGGTATACTAAACCCTCACGACTTGCGAGCGTTGCAGAAGTGTTGGTCTTGCGCAAGGGCCAGATTTATAATGAACTGATTGTTTGATAATCAATTTATTACTTTAAATTATTAGTAGTTTGTATTAAAAAGAAACAAAAAATACAAAGGCCAAAAAGATGGAAACTTAAGTTAAGGATTAGTAAAAGATCTGGCCACGTGGTCATAAAACATAATTACTGTTATTACCAATTATGACATTAACAGGAGGTTGGTTGTTATACAATAAATACTATGTACAAAAATCAGAATTAAAAGTAAATAAATATTATATATTATAACAAATAATATAAAAATTAAACAGTACAAATAATTACATTGAAATGTACGTGAAGTAAATTTATAGTAAATTTTTATATGAATGTATAAAATGAAGAACCACGAATATAATGATAAATCAAATAAGATTCAATTTATTAATTATTATTAATCAGAAGCTTTCCATACAGAAGAAAAAATAGCGTTTATTATTTGTTCCAGTCAGTAGAATTTAAGTTTAATAATAAGATTAGCCACAGTTTTTCTGGTATGTGCGAAATATTTATTAAAGTAAATGTTCACTTTGAAGGTGTTAACAAAAGGTCGTCCGGGTACAAGAACAAATTCAAATATTTAATTATAATGGTAATCCAATGGTGCTAGAGAAAATTTCAGTGATGTCAAGAAGAACAGGGAAAATAATATGAGACGTAAAACTACGCCTGGAAATACTCCATCAGATATCAGAATTCCTTTTTGAGGAAACGGATTCGTTACAGCCAGGAGCTCGTAACGTACAAAACTCTTATGATATGCAATAATTTTTTTGCCAATTCCAAAATGAACCCCATATAGCTTGCTTTGTCTATGTTAATATTGACTGCATAAGATTTTCAATTTTTTAGTTTCAAATATGATATAAATGTTATCAAGAATCCTGAAAATATGGTAACAGGCAGTGCTTGCATCTCACACACAGTCGTTTATGTATGTAGTCAAGAAGGAGCAAATATCTGGGGACGGAAAAAGGAAGAAAGAAAAAGAAAAAACACAAGACAGACGTACAGAAGTAGTGTATCAAGTTGTAATGCTTGTATCTGAAGATCTGATGTATTTTTATTATTCAGTTAATTAAAAAGTGTTAAAACAGTCTCGTAGTTGCGTTCCTCCCACATGAATAATATTTATTACACTTTTGAACATCGCAATACCACAATTGTTTTGTGAATTAATTTCAATTTAATTGGGATAAATAATAGGTATCGTTCCTGAAATTAAAATTTTAATAAATAATAACTGACGAAGGCATGACATTTGCTTCCCATTATTTTGGGTGTTTTCTTATCTTTCCTTGTTTCCATTTAATTCTTGTATTGACTAGAAATATTCCCAGCTTACTAAGTTTTGTTTGACGTTTATTGCTAACAATAAAAGCTGTTTTTCGTTTGTTTTTATTTGCTTAGCTTTTCACAATGGTATGATAGGACGCTTCTGACTTTTCCGGGGAGGACTCAGCCCTTCCTCGTTTGTACCGACTCTCTGAGCGCTGTCTGGCCCATACGCGACAGGTTCTCCGTGGACCTCTCGTCGTGATCTTGTTAGACGATGGTTGTTGTCTGGATTCCCGGGGGTAACGAACGTGCGGACGAGGCGGCGAAAGCCGGGACCTCCCACCCTCCGGATCGGACCATCTCGATAAACACACAGTAAAAAATATGATAAAAGAAAGTGTGCGGGGTCGTCGGAGAGGCTCTTTCTAGTAAAGAGCACGACCGGTAGATGGCCCTCAGAGAACCTGAGCAGGAGATCGTCCTCACCCGACTGAGGATTGGCCATACGCGGTTGACACATGGGCGCCTGCTTTTGGGCCAAAGCCCGCGCAGGTGCCCCTTATGCAGAGAAGGTTGCTCGATGTGTCCCACATAATAGAGGCGTGTCATGCCTTGGCTCCATACAGAGAGCGTGTAGGCATGCCCCGGACTTAAGAAGAGTTCTCAAACACGGTAGCGAGTTTCAGAGTCCCCTGTTCCGCTTTTTAGNTTCATTTAAACCAAAGTAAATACGACACCAAATGTTTCTTAAATTTGAATCTTTAATTACAATTTATTTTCACATAAAATGACAATATATTTTATTAATTATTATTTTTAATTTAAAGAATCCTTTTATACAATAACAAACCTATCTCAAGTCTACAAACCTTAATTTTAAAATGGACTTTGATTCTCGGTTGAAAGATTATTAATATTATTATTAGTATTATTATTAAAATTTTGACCTCCAAATTAGAAAATACAATTAAAATATTAACAACTTTTAAAATGAAATATTATTTCTTTTACTCTTCTTTATAAAAATATATACCCTTTTAAAATTAAATTACAATTATTATTTTTTATTTTGACGTCAAAGTAATAAAATTAACTTACTTGATTTACTTGACCAAATTTTTATTTTTACCAAAAAATAGCTGTTTACCCACACAAGCCAGAAAGGGATCTGTTCTCGGGAAAAGAATAGCCCTTTCTTGGCCCCTACTCCTATCACTGTTTGAGTGTGTGGAGGGGCATGGCGGTTCATTTAAATCTGAACGTGACAAATGTATTTATTTGTATGAATGTATTGTGTAAAAGGGTAAATAGAATATAGACTTAGTTGGGGGCTAAAATGACCTAAATGTCGGAAGCCCCAGTGAAAAAAAGCTGTTA